GGAGGGGGGGGAAGGGGGGCGGGTGGGAGGGGGATAATAAAAATGCCATTTTGTTTAAAATTCCATTATCTCCTTAGTGGTGACAGGGTGAGAAGAAAGTAAAGGCATAAAGGCTAATGGATTAGAAAAGTGGGGAGGGGGTTGAGGCAATGATCAGTCTTTAACAGACTTGAGCCATTGAATAAGTAATGCTTAAATATTGCATTTCTGGGGTGCGCGATAGACTTACCTCCACGTGGTGCACCCTGGGCAACGTATACTCATACGGCAAAAAAGTCTATTAACCGGAAGTTGACTTCTGACTTCAAACTACCATAGCCCGACTGCTTGTCATATTCAACCCCTTCCACAGCATTCATCTTGCATTTTTCTCTACCTTTGTGTCTGTCTGCCTCTTTTACATCCGTGAATCGCCCTTCTGCTCCCCTTCCTCGACTTTCTGCTACTTTAATGACCCTTCCCTCTGTTGAAGCCCGAAGTCAACTAAAGGGCTAATGATAGCTATCAAAACGCCTGCCATTTGAAATAAATAAATATTGCATTTCTAAGTTCTAATTTCTTCCAAAATTTGCATTGTCTGAGAATATTTTAGATATTTGGCTAACAAAATGTAGCAAAGTATTACTATTCTGGCCATCGGGGTGTGGGTCCGACTTACCTCCACGTGGTGCACACTGGGCAACGTATACTCACACGGCAAAAAGTCTAGAAACTGGCAGTTGACGTCTACGTACAATGGCCCGACACTATGTCATATTACACCACTTACGGTACTCACCTCACCTTTTCTATACTTCTGCGTTTCTCTTACATCTGTGAATCACTTTTCTGCCCCTCTTCTCGAATTTTTCCCACTTTGATGTGTCTTCCCTCTGTGAAGTTCGAAGTCAAAACGCCTGCCATTTGAAATAGATAAATAAATAAAACTATACTGGCCTACACGATCTTCGTGAGAGACAGGTTGAGATAAAGGCAAATCATTTTTTCCTTTAGGCATGTCGGAGGATTTGTAAAGGAGACAATTGGAGGCCAGAGAAAAGAAGTCTGCTGTCAGCGAATCAATTATGAAATATTGTTAATTAAAGGGTATAAATAGCCATGTGGGGATGATTCAGCGGGATTTACGTAGCCGCAACTTTTTGGATCAATGCGCAGACACAGGTCAGTCTAGAAAACAACAATCACGAGGGAAACCGATTGATTATTAACATAAATAATCGGTTTCTAAGGCTCTAAACAGAATATTGCGCCCGATTTTCAAAACTATTCAAATCTATCTGTAAAATGCATCTCCTAAAATGATGAATTCACTACACGAATTCAGCACAAAGGAGCCTTTCTCTCATCTCATCAGCACTTCCAGTCATTCCGGTTTTGATTTCTTCAAAACCAAGTCACACGAGTCCATTATTTTAATTACATTCGCTAAATTCACTTAATTCTGTCCAGAAATTTGATCAAATGATCTCAAAGAAACAGTCCCACCAACCAGAAAGGCTTTTAACTTCATCATCAATAAAAAAGACTTACTTGAATTTGTTGCGAATTTTTGAGAAAAAATATTGTTGAATTAAGAGCAATGGGCTCTTTAGATGCCTCTCAGTACCCGTTGTAATTGTCATTAATCTCATTGGAAGATATAGCATAATCAGATTGAGGTCATTAACTACATCAAATCTTAAGGGTTTTAAAGATACAAACAAACACCAATGAAAACTCTAGGTGCTGTGAAATTTTAGGTGCTTTCGATATCTCACAAATTCCTTTAGTCAGGTTAATAATTTTTGTCTGTTTATATCTACTTGACAAACCAAAAAGCCTCCATCTACCCATGCACCCATTAGCAGACACTGATGTAGTGTGTTGCACCCCACTGCTCGACTTCTTCAGGAAATTAAACACACCTCCAGAGCAAATGCGCTCACTGGCCCTTGAGACAATCAATGTCAACTATCCTGCAGATCAATGGCTCCAAGTCTTCACTAATGGGTCATACATAGAAAACCAAGCAAACATTGGTGCAGGTGTCTATTCTGAACTCTTCTCTGTCTACGCAGCAGAGGGACACAATCGATCCGATTTTGAAGGAGAAATAGAGACCATTAGGATATCACTATGCCAATTATGTTGCCTGGATACGAAATTCACCAAAGCGGTGATACTTTCGGACTCACAGTCAGCAATAAACTCAATTGGAAACAGAGAGCCATCCAAAAAATGAGATAAACGAATGTAGAAAACTCTATCAGCTGCTGAGAGAGAAAAACAAAACAGTGGTCCTACAATGGATTCCTGGTCACTGTGGCATTAAAGGNTGAAGGAGAAATAGAGACCATTAGGATATCACTATGCCAATTATGTTGCCTGGATACGAAATTCACCAAAGCGGTGATACTTTCGGACTCACAGTCAGCAATAAACTCAATTGGAAACAGAGAGCCATCCAAAAAATGAGATAAACGAATGTAGAAAACTCTATCAGCTGCTGAGAGAGAAAAACAAAACAGTGGTCCTACAATGGATTCCTGTTCACTGTGGCATTAAAGGCAATGAGCTTGCTAACACACTTGCTAAGAAGGGGACAACGATTTTGCAATGTATGGAGCGGCCAATGTCTTTCCACACAATGAAGGCTTTAATCAGAAGAGAATTCCAGACCTCAAGGTACAACGAACTTAAAGCTCGAACAAAGAAGAAACAGTGGACAGTGGCACTCTCCGACATACCCGACTGGCCAAGAATCGAAGCCGTTGCTGAGTTTAGACTACGTACCGGACACGATTGCCTGGCAAAACACCTTCACAGATTGGGAGTATACACTCAACCCACATGCCCTCTATGTAACCTACAGGAGGAAATTAATTAAATGCCATAAATGTACACCCCACCCCACCCTTGGGGGAAGCTGAAGTCAAAGTTTAAAGGCTAATGATAAATATCATAAATTCTGCCATTTGAAGTAAATACTTTTGTAAATCGGATAAGTAGAAGATGATTGGCTGCCTAGTTAGCCAGTAAGTGCAATGCAAGGGGTTCCTTACAGGTGGCCTTACATTTTATGCTGCGAGCGCAGAAACCCAATCGAATTGAAGATCGAGTACAGCACGAGAGGAAGAGGGGGAGAGAGAGAGAGCTGGCAACTTTCTCTCCGGTACACCGAAAATATTCGATTGCGATTCCCAACACTGTTGTTCAATTCTTAAAGCATTGATAACATTATTATTTTTTCCCATTTTAAATTTATTTTCCGAAAAAAGGTGTTCAAGTTTAGAAACTTCTACTTCCCTAAAAGTGCCGAGTTTCAGGACGAAATCCGTCTTAGATTCTTCGTTGAAAGGAGGCATTTTGTATAATTTTCCCTGTGAAAATTATCGGAAATGCCAGGGCGTAACCGGAGGAAATAATGGTTGACTATTGAAACCTAGGCGACGGCCTAGAATTTGCACTCAAAGGCAAAAATGTAAAAAATAACACATTCTCTGTTGCACGAAAGCATATGACAATTATATGTGAGTCCGAGTTTATTTAAAACTTAGCATGCATTGCATTGCAATTATCGGACAGGACAAGGACAGTGAAAATTCTTCTCTGCGTAGAGCATAATGACCACTCAGTGGATTAAACAGTGCTAAGTTTAAATTAATTAGTAAATAATCTATGAATTCAGCTCACTGGCTTACCCACTCAGGCTTCGCATAGGTAGAGATCAAATAAGCAAAATAAACCTTCAACAATTTGGAATTTAAAGTGAGAAAGGGGGACAACAATGGAGTTCAAAAATTCACCAGTTTCATCTCCTCTTGGTAGTTTAGCTTTTGAGTACTCTCAGATTCTTCTTCACGATAATAAGTTTTATAGTACAACGTATACTCATTCTGCAAAAAAATCTATAAACCGGCAGTTGACTTCTTTATTCGAACTACCTTGACCTCACTATATGCCATATTTGACCCCTTCCACAGTACTCGTCTTGCCTTATCTCTGCCTTTGTCTGCCTATTTTACATCTGTGAATCTCTCTTCTCTTCCCCTTTTGACTTTTTCCCATCTTGAAGTTCCTCCTCCCCTCTGTGAAGTCTGGAGTCAACCAAAGGGCTAATGATAACTATCAAAACGCCTGCCATTTGATATAAGTATGGTTCTAGTACAGCCACGAGCGTCAATATTATCGCGGTTTTTCGAAAGTTCGCCCATTCGTTTAACCGCCATGGACTGCTTTTCGGAAAACCACGGTAATGCAATTAAGAATTATGATTTATTTTTCACGGATATAAAAGTGGTTTAAATGAAGAAAAAAAATGAAACTATGAAGGCTGATCAAAGAGCACTCCTCAGCGTGAGTCTGGGGTTAGCCTCTTTCCTAATCGATATGATACTCGTTCAGATTTTGGTGTTTAAAATTTGAATACGACTATCAATTGGTGAATGTGGGTTACGTCTTTGTCTAAGTATCTGTGTTTTCTAGAATAAGGGAATATTATATGAGCAGTTGTTCCTTATCTTCCCCGTCTGTTCAATAAAAGTAAAGCAATCAACTTTTTCCAAGGACCAGTGCCCAAGACAACATACATCTCTTTAAAGTATAAAATCTACCCTAATAAAAGCTGAATTGAACAAGTTGGAACAGAAATAAAATTGAATTGGAATAAACACGTTAAATCGTCACATTTTCTAAAAGTCTAAATGTGATTCTCAAAAAGATGTCATGATATAAAATTTTTCGAGGAAAATGAATAATTTCCCCCCAAAACAACTAATCACACTTCAATTGTCAATCAGTTACAAATTTCATGTAATTGTCCGAATACATCTAATTTGATTATATCGCTTCTATTCTCTTACTTCGCGTGATTTGTGTTTAGGTTGGTTTGCTAATTAAGGCTAAATAAAATAAATTTACACCAAATGTTCACTAAAAGCGGGGTTTGTTCAAGTGTCACTGATATTTACATTACTTCATGCCTGTTTGCTCCGAAACAAACAATTTTCTTCTTCAAACTGTAGATTTGAATAAGAAAGAAGTCGAAATTAAAATGGCACTGCGCGTTCTCGTGAGTTTGATTAAACTGAAACTCCTGAAACGGTAGAGAGGCCAGTGCAAAGTGCCAACTGTAAAATTCCAACCTCAAGACGAAGGACACAGAAAGAGGAAAGTGAAGTAAAGGCAACGACTTTGCAAAATGTGCGTAGAAAATGCCAGTTGATGGGGTGGAGGAAATAAAGAGATAAAGAAGTAAGGAAAAGCATGCGCGGGTGGAGTAGGTAGGATGTGAGATTTATTTATTTATTTATATCAAATGGCTGGTGTTTTGATAGTTATCATTAGCGCTTTAGTTGACTTCGGGCTTCACAGAGAGGAAGGAACATCAAAGTGAGATAAATTCGAGAAGGGGGGGGGGAACAGATGAGTGTTTCAAAGATGTAAAAGAGACAGACACAAAGGTAAAGAAAGGGTGAGGTGAGTATTGTGAAGTGGTGAAATATGACATACAGTGGGGGTGATGGTAGTTTGAAGTGAGAAATCAACTGCCGGTTAATAGACTATTTTGCCGTATGAGTATGCGTTGCCCAGGGTGCACCACGTGGAGGTAAGTTAATCGCCCACCCCAGGATATAAGGTCATTGGATTGAAACCGGAGTATTCCCCAACAGTACTTACTCCACCTCGATTGTAAATATCGACTAGTATTAGGTAAACAATTTTTATCAGATACAAATTCAAGGAAGCGAAAATATTTCCCAGCTATAACCTTTACGATTTGAAGATGAAAAGAGATAGCCAAGAGTTGAAGAGATATTGATCAAGTATCAAAGGCCACTTTCGTCTTCCGTACATTAGGATTTGAAGGAAATTCATGTCTATATCCGATTAATTTACCTGAAAAGAGTTTTATTAATTTTTGCTGTGGCGCACTATTCATTTACTTTTCATTTATTTTACCTTTAATTATAAATAAGCCAAAAAATGTCTATAAACCAGCCGTTGACTTCTCACTTCAAACTACCATGACCCCATTGTATGTCATATTCCACCACTTCCAAAGTACTCATCTTACTTTTTCTCTGCCTTCGTGTCCGTCTCTTTAACGTCTTTAATTTGCTCTTCTGTTCCCTCTTTCGAATTTTTCTCACTGTGATGTTCCTACACTCTGTGAAGTCCGAAGTCAACGAAAGGGCTAATGATGACTATCAAAACGTCCGACATTTGAAATAAATAAATAAATCTTTAATTATGAATAATTCCTATATTTGAAGAGTATGCAGCAAAGTATTTGCCAAAAGTAGGATTTTAGCTTCTTTACTGCTGTTGAACTCGTAGGTAGAAATCTCATTTCATACAAAATCATTTACTGCTTTTAGTTACGTATCATTTTACAAAAGTGATGTCATTAAATAAGTTCTTCTTTTTTGTAATATTCAGTTACTTCCAAACCCCCAAAAAAGGATTGCAAGGGGATTTTTTTAGTTTTACACATTATTTGCGAGAGTCCTAAATTTTTCAAAAAATTATCCCAAATTTTCACGGAGATTTCAACGGTGGTCTTTTATTGCCCCCATATGTTTCAGAAAAGTACAATTCCCTTTGAAAATTTTAAGCGGCACTTTCAATAAAGGCACTTGATTCTAACGCGAGAAAAAAGGTGGCAGTGTTTGGTTCATTAAGTGAAAATCGTCAAGGCCAAATGTGCAAAATTTCCTTTAAAATTACCAAAACTACAATTATTTCAGTGAAAATTGATTTAGGAAAGGTGTGGTGAATGAGTTAAAACTCTGTCCATTTGTGAATTAGAGAAGAAGAAGAAGAAAACGACTCGGTTTAATTTATTTGCATTCTCTCGGCTATGGGGAAAGTTTTTATGGGTTTTAATTATGCAAAAACATATGGATGAACTAAAAAGATAAGGCATCCATTAAGAAAACAAAAAAAAGAGGTTATATGAAAGTTATTAATTAAAGTTACGGGAATAAATCACTTACATCATCGGAACTCTGAGAGTATTGAGCTGTCCAAATGTTGCGTAATGCCTGGAGTTCGATCTCCAGCTTCCTGGGGGGGGGGGGGGAAGGTTATGTCCACCACATTCTTGGCTTGATAACGGGTTAATCGAAATCTGTGGGTGGTACTACCCCCATTATGTATTAAGTTTTTAAGAAAGCAGAGATCACTCACAGATAATTCTTGCCCTTCAACTTTTTAACCCCCACCCCACCTCCACCCCACCCCCACCTCCACCTCCACCCCCTACACAAGCTATCAATCATTCAGTCTGAAAAGGTCTGTTAGGATTGTCAAAAGTTGCGAGTTACATAGAGCGGTTAGGAAACATTTGCTTCAGTTCTGAGAAGTGGGGTTTTGTCTTAGTTACATTGGCAACAGATAGCATTCATAGTTAATGAGTAATTCTGAGCTAGGCAATAAGCGAGCGTCTGCAGCTAAAACCGAATAAATTTGTGAAAATGGAAGTTCCTTTTCCGATCTCATACCCATTGAGTTATCACTTTATCATCAACACAACGCCTTGCTTACCCAATTATTGCGCAATGAAAGCCCATTAATTTATAAGACCGCGCGTAACTTTCGAATTGGCCATCTAAATATAGGCCCTATTGTCTTAGTAGCGAAAGCTGTTTCCCTTTAAGCTCAGCAATTTTATTATCTCTATAAGCGACTGTATCACCGAATTGAAGAGCTACCTGTTTACTGTCTTAAATTGAGGACAGCGAGTGTGTACTGGATAAAATCCTTTCCCTTTATACCCAGTCTGCAATATTTTGTGAAGCAGACTCAAAAGCACTTTTCCCCCACCCCACCCCACCCCACCCCATCCCTACTCCCACACCCCCTCTCCTCCCCAACAGTATTCTAAGGGTAAATTTACGACTGCAGGATTTACCCTAAGCAGCCAAATTCTTTGTAAATCCCAATTAGTAGTAGAAAGCGCTACAATGTGTTACAAATCTGCCATAATCCAATTCAAATCAATTAGATTAGCACCAATCTAACAAAAGCCATCGTATGACTCACAATTTAAATACCGATATATACTTAGACCTTTCAGCACATCCATTACCAAAACAAATTTAAATACTAATTAGTGAAATTAAATTGTTAATTAAAATAGGTTTACTAATCTTCAAAAGCTGTTCTTTTGGGATTAGCTCCTTGATTTTGTGCTCTCAAGGTAATTTCAGCCACAGTAAACTAGTATAGTTCTATGATTTCGAGGCACAACATTGATTTTTCTTATCCATAATTCGATTGTTCATATTATTATTTTTCTAAAAAGTATCGAATTTGTGATGTCTACATTACTATTACGTCATTACCAAAAATTTGAATGACG